GATGCAAAGTCTTTCAAACTTGAACAGGAGTAGCTGTCTCATTTCCCCTCCAAGTATTCCCTTCTGACAGTAGCCCTGTCAGCCGTGGGAGCAAGCCCCATTATAAGGTGCCAGTGGAAAGCACATCTAGCCAGTCAAAAGAGATGATTCCTACTATAGTTAGTACTGAAGCAACCTCACCTTGAATACTGTTTGCAGGGATTCACAATGTAAAGAGGATGTTAAAGTACCTGAAAGCATCCAGAGAGCAACAAAGCTGGTTGCTGGGCTGGAATGCATGTCCTCTGAGGAGAGGTAAGACTTTTTTGGATGTCTTTTCAAGGCTGAATATATTTTTAGGTATTTCATTGTATGTAAGTCATAATACAAATAAAACAAGAAAATAATTCATTTTGGATTTTCTCATTCACACTATCACACACACTGAATCAACTCTTCATCAACACCAAACTGTTCTGCAAACATAACATGCAACAAATCTCTACAAATGTAGATCTTACTCTCAGATATTTTTATCTACGTATTCATGTAACAGCCTGAGAAACTGAGAAACAATGTGGGCGGTTGGTTGTCTGAGAACAGTTTTACTTTTCTCATCTGCACACAGTAAAATATTTTGTACGTTCTTCAGTATGATCATGTAACCCCACCAATAGCTTTAAAATTAAGCTAAGCTATTCTCTTTACTAATTTATAACTTCAAGCCCTTAAACTTTCTCTTGCCTCAGAATGCACATTGTCTTCTAAGTAAAAAAATGTACTGGGCAAATACTTAACGTTCTCTTCAACTCAAAACCTGATGATGACTAAGTCACAAACTACCTCTCTCTGATCACAATGGTATAAATTTCCAAAACAACATTTGTGTGATAAATTTACAAAATAATTACACGTTAGACACAGACACCAGAGGAAGAACACTTGGCATATGGTAGATCCAAATTTCAGAGTACAAGGACTGCATTGTTCCTTGGATCTGCAAGTAGCACATGTTTTTGCAGAAGCTCAGAATTCGCTCCTAAAGATTTTCAGGGCTATAAAACTGTGCTACAAATAATTAGTAATGCTATCCAGTTTAATTACTGACAGATCTCACAGCACATGGCAGAGGTTAATCCGCTTCCCACCACGTGGGAAGGTGCCATAAGCACTGTCATATTATTCTTAGAGACTGGAAATTACCTGAGGGAAAGACAAGTCAGTAACATTTCCAAGATTACCTATATAGATGCAGTCAGAAATATCAGTATGAGCTTAAGTCTATATCTATTACATCCTCTCTCTAGAGAGATATTCTAGAGAAGTTATAATTAATAATGTATCAATTTTATCTACATGAAGAAAAATGAGATTTCTGAGTTAAGATGTAGCCTTTGTTACCATCAGTGAATGCATATCCAATTTGGTTTTATATGCTTTATGTATGATGAGAGAAAGAAAGAAGTCTCTTTCAAAAGCACCAGCTTCCTATTGGGAACATTGAGAAATCAGACACATGAGAGGATGGAAACACTCTTGACAAAGCAAGTGAAATCAAGAGTGCTGTTATCCAGAACTAATATGGAGAGAGAAATGTGTAAATAACATTGACTTACTATACTGGAAACATCCAATAGAAAGAACACAAGAAGGAAAAAAAAGGTACTTTGCAATCTTGCCATACTACTTCTGGACTGCAGACATTGGTGTTATCACTGCACCAGAAAGGCTTACTACTGCACAAGAACCCGCTGCCTTGACCAACAAATAAATAAACAAACAAAAATCAATCCAACCCAGTCTAAACCTTAAAATCGATCTTCCCTATACAAAGTCTCCATACTGCTTAATCTGTTACAGGAATAAATCTTCAGATAAAAATCATCAAAAAAGCTGACCAAAGAGGCCTAACATCACTCAAATTTGCTTCAGCAGACAGTAGATTTCATCAAACATTTACTTAAAAAAACTACATATGAAAGTTTCTGTCAACATCTTGATGTGGTTTGAGAGAGTATGTGTCTTATGTAGTCAGAGTTCTCATTTTCTATTAAATTTTCTTATGATGTGCCATTTTACAACCCTTGTGTCATAGTGCGAAATCTAAGAAAATTGTTTCCAATTAAAGGATCAGAATCAGTTATTAAATAATGACTACTACATAGATCCTCAAAACAGTGAAATGTGTGGTAATTGTATTCTCTGGGGGAAAAACTGAAGAAAAAGAAGTTTATTTCCAATACGAAAAAGCAACTGTTTTTTCAGACATTTGACCCAGCCACAGTTTATGATGAGGTTTGTTTCAAAGAAAATTCCCTTTAAAGAAGTACTCTGTTTTATCTGAGATGTGAACACAGGTGTGTAAAACAGATCTTTCAAAGCTTTTCTGGATCTTTTTCTGGATCTTTTGTTATTATTAGGATAGCAAACATCTACAAATTACTTTCATATTTTCTCAGTGAGAGAAAAACCTTCATCTACATTCTTTATGGAATATTTACAAAACTATTCCGTATACCATCTATATATTACATTCCAAATGAATCATATCATCTTAAAGAATAATATTTTGAAGGAAAAGTTTGTTTTTCTTAACTGCAGAAAAACTTTTATCCTGTAAAGTAAGGAAAAATCTTTTATAAATGTTACACTGTACACCATATTATAAGAAACAATTGACAGTTAATTAACATGTGATTGACATGTACAAAAGTAAACAAGCTTTTACTTATTTCCCAAAGAAAAAGAGATTAAAATTCCAGTGAGACTAAATACATTGTCCCTCAACAAATCCCATTGCCAAGAATAAGCCTTTTTTTTTATTAGATTTGTTAATGTGGCATGAAGAAGTACAAAAGGTATCACAGAATTCTTCTTGAGAACAGAATATAGCCAAAAAAAACAACCAAAAAAAAAAAACAAAACAAAAAAAACACCCAATCCTTAACTCTTCTTTTTTTTTACTTTTTTCTTTTTTTTTTTTTTTTTTTAATAAAATACTGACTAAATTTTACTCATTGTGTATACATAAGACTTAAATATAAACTGCCAGTAGTTTCTGAAAGATCAGTCAGGAACCATTCTAATCCTACAGTTTTCTTCATAGTTTACCTTGGGTGTTTTTTTCAGAATTCATTTTTTAAGAAAAAAAAAATGGAATACAAAAGAACAGCTTTCATTTTAGTTAGTATTTTTGATACGATTTTAGGGACTTAATAAAGAAAACATTTTTTGGAGCGTGCTTGCTTAAAAACAAATGTAAGTAGAATGTGAACGTAATGAGATTCAATAAGGCTAAGTGCAAGGTGTTGCAGCTGGGTCAGGAAAATCCCAGATATGAGTACAGACTGGGAGAAGAACTCATTGAGAGCAGAAATGCGGAGAAGGACTTGGGGGTCCTGATGGACAAAAAACCAGATGTGAGCCAGCAGTGTGCTCCTGCAGCTCAGAAGACCAGAAGTATCCTGGGCTGCACCAAAAGAAGGGTGGCCAGCTGGGAGAGGGAGGAGATTGTCTCCTTCTACTCTGTCTTTATGAGACCCCACCTGAAATATCACGTCCAGGCCTAAGGCCCCCAAAACAAGAAAGACATAGAGCTGTTGGCATGGGTCCAGGGGAGACCACAAAGATAGTCAGAGGGCTGGAGCAGCTCTTCTATGAAGAAAGTCTGAGGGAGATGGGATTGTTCAGTCTGAAGAAGAGAAGGCTTTGGGAGACCTCGCTGCAGCCTTTCAGTACTTGAAAGGAGCTTACAAACAGGAGGGGGACTGACTGTACACAACCAGATAGTAAAAGGACAAGGGAGAATGGTTTTAAACTGAAAGAGGGGAGATTTAGATTAGATATTGGGAGGAAAGTCTTGACTCAGAAAGGGATGAAGCAGTGGCACAGGTTCCCCAGAGAATTTGTAGATGCTCCAATCCCTGAAGGCCAGGTTGGATGGGGCCTTGGGCAGCCTTATCTGGTAGGTAGCAATCCTGCCCATGACAAGTAGTGGAATGGGATGATAGGATGATATTCAAGGTATTTCCCAACCCAAGTCATTCTATGAAAAGTGATGTTTTATTGACATCCCTTTTGTGTTAAAAGTTTGCTATTTTTCAACTATCTGTGTTGCTTAAAACATCTATTATTGCAATAATAGTAGACTAAACAGATTTCTCACACTTGGTTATTGCTTTAGGTAGTCTAAAAACAGCTAGTGAAATTGATGTTTCTGGCTGCATGGGTCTTTCAGCTTAAAGTCATGAACAGTTTTGCCGAAACAGTATTTAAGACAAAAATATAGATAAAAGTAACGCTTGCTAAATACGCCAATTTTGTAACAAAAAGCTTTGTGGTACTCCAAAATGTTCAGAGGCTCTTAAAAATGTCTGAATGTAAACAATAATCAGTAATATAGTGAAGTTTTCAGGTTAAATAATGATACAAGCTGCAAAACAACTCAGAACTTCCAGAAATACTTAACCTAATTGTCAAACGCTATGTTAAGTTTTGCGTACTTCTTCATGAGTAATATAGAATTTTCTATAGAAATTTATGGAATTGATTCACACAGACTCTCAGAATTATACGTCTGTAACTCATGCACAGCAGTGGCTAAGATTACAGATATATCCCTTTCTCTGTGCAGGTGCAGTTACTCACATGTAGAGTTTACGTTTAGTTAATATGCACTAAAGGCTTCAGAAGGACTCAAACATAAAACTTACAAATGTCAATATAGTTTGAACTACTAGAAGTTAGGACAAGACTATAATCTGTTAGAGCTTCATCCAGAAGTATAAGAATTTTTCTAATTTACACCTTCACTGTGTATTTATAAATCACACAGTGTTTTTCTTTCTCAGGTCATACATATCAGTCATGTGACCTCTATAGATTTTCAGGTATCTATTAAGAGTCAAACAAGATTTTAATAACTCACTGTATGACTTTAAGTGGCTTCATAGCAGAAGTAATCCAATAGCATTTTTTACCTCATCAGACTGCTTTTTTAAAAAAAGTGGTGTAATACATACCCTGTCAGTCTTCCCTTCTGTCTGAATACTAGTGCGACTACGTACATCATGGTCTTCTTCAAGGTCAGATACATCTTCAAGCTCTTCAGGTGTCTAGGAAAAAGATATTGAAGCGTTATTCTCTCTTATGGTTATTAAATTTGGTATTGATGTCAAACATAACTTGGTCTAAGAGAATGTCTGACAAACAAAAAAACAAGTCTTGCTGTAGAACAAGTGTCTACTAAATGCTAATTAACACCACATTCTGTCAGACAGCTTTCAACTAGATCAAAATAGCCATGATAACATTAAAGCTGACTCTTAAAGTTAGCACTTATAGAATTTATTTGATATTTACATCTCATGTTACTGCTGCTAGCAAAGGCATACTACAAACATTTATGTGACCAGAATGCATAGGTTTGTTCTACCTTCTCTTCCCTGTACAGAAACACTAACATGCTCACTGTAATACACTAAGCAGTTTGGAAAGACCCAAACTGCTCATATTTGGAGTATATCTCTGACTTATTGTGATGCACATACTGTACTGTACACACAATCAGAAAAACCTGAACTGCTAACATTTTTTGATACTGATTTTTTCAACTATACCCTGAGCAAATTAATGAAAAATGCTTTTTTCCTTATGATATATTTTCTGTATGAGTCAAACCTTGAAATTTATTTCCTACATTCCCATTTACCAATATATCATGAAAAAAAACCTGCAGGAGTTTTGAATTTTAACATAAATAACTCAGTAAATAAAGTACAATGAACGTGGCTAAGGGACACCCAATGAAACATTCAAAGCATGTTTAACCATACTAACATAGCAGCACACAGCGAAGCACACAACATTCAGAATTATGAACTATCTAAAAATTAATATTGGTTCTATCAATGCAATGGGATACTCAAGAAAGCTTTCCTTTTGCTAAAGGGATTCATGTTTTAAAGAAACAAATTTACACATAAAGCCAGACTAAATAAAGAACTGGTGACAGATCTGCTGTTGGATGGTCTACTATCAGCTTGACCTCTAGACTTCCATATCAGTCTTAGTACCCCATAAGCCTGATGTGTCCCTAGAGAAACATGAGAGGATAAGGAGAGGATAATAAATGTGCCAAGAGATATGCAGAAAAAAAAACACCCTGAAAATCACCATTACTTTTACCCAATTTTCAATAACATCAAATATGTATTTATTTAATCCAGAGTAGCTACGTGTTTTCATCTTTTCATTTTTACTGGTAGGTTATACATAGTCAATATTTGTTGAGAGGAGCACTATAGGGTTGTGTTACTTGATTTTCAGGCCCATAACATAGTAGCAACACTACATTAAACTGTATAAATCCACTTGCATACATTCCAGTCATTTGGGAAAGTAGCTCTGTGGCCAGCAGGTGGTATAGGTGCTGCTAGACTTCAACGAGGTTTAAGTAATGCTCTGGTATTTCAAAGCACAGGAGTTGATTTTACTCACTGAACAAAATAACAGTAATTCAAATGAGCTAATATTGCAAGAAATAAACAAAGCTACTGCCCAGCCTGACAGAAATATAATCCTGGTGGTGAAAAGTACTGCCTAGATATCCTCAAGAAAACAGACAGGCAGTCATTTTTATTTTTTGGGGTGAACACAACTCATTTACCTGCACACACTTTAATCGTAAAGCGGGAAAAAGAAACATTTTTCTTTTCAGGCAAAGATTATCAGTGTTATGAAATATTTTGCCTTTCGTCTTGATATTAGACCAAGTGAGAATTCCACGCAATCCAAATGTTACTGGCCTTTAATTCTGAGAAATTCTGGTCATCTGCAAAAAGTCTTTTTTCAATCCCCACAGAAATTCATTCAAATACACCCCTATGTGTTTAAGACTATAATCATGTTATTTACTGGTTACATGTTACACAGACAGTAAATGTGCGTTTCCATATTTATGATTTTAATAAATCTGCATTCTCACTGGTTTTGCTACTGAGAACTCTAAATTATAGTCAAGTCTAGCATTGATGACTTTTATACTGTTATGATACAAAGTCAATACAACAAGAAAACCGTATCATTCCTCTGATGAAAAAACCTTTACATTTGCTTTACTAGTACAGTGTTATAGAAAATAATAAAACTGAGGTCTGGCCTTAAGTTTTAGATTTCTGCCAGTCCTTCAAAACTGTGCAAGTGTGCTCTTAGGCTTACTTGCTTTTCAATCCATGCTTTGTAGAACAACGTGTCTGACTCTTTTTCATGGAATTTTCTCCAATACACATTTTTATATGTATACACTCCTCACAGATAACTATCCAAACAACACTATATAGATCATGCACTTTTAAATGTCACATACACTCATCAATCTTGCAAATAAAGGGTGTCTCTTTACTATATCTGTGCAAACACAGAGCTATTTATGGTATGTAAATTCTAGAACAGCAAAAATAAATGCTTTACGTGCACTCTACAAGGGTCAGAATTTAATTCATTATATTGGGCACTGAGAACAGAATGGGTTTAAAGAGATTATCTGCTCTACTTTGAAAACGTGACTAATGCCCATATTAGAAAATTTCATCATGTCAGAAATCACGTCATTCAGAGTAACAATGTACGGCAAATGTTTCACAAATGGGCCCTTCACAAATATTTAGCTAGTGCATGCTATTTCACGTGTTATTCACAGTACTGCTGTTGCTACGTACTTAATACTGCCAGATGACAGGCTACCAGAGTTTCTTGATACCCTTGAGGGAGAAGAGTAAACTGCTAGTTTAATTTATTTTTCCTAATCAATTCATTAATAACCTCATAATCATTGATGTCTATTTCTAATTCACTAAAAGCACTTCTCAGATTTTTGCAAAAGGAGATTACTTTGAGTGTCATTTTAGAAAAAATAAAAAGCAGCATTTTAGGGCAAATTAAAATGCAATGTTCTTATACTGTCAAAATTATTAAATCCTCCTATTTATCATTAAACATGAAAATACATCTGTATTTGGAAACTGTTCTTGGAACCTCCCATTAAAAATATCTTTCTCATATTATTTAAGATATTATGGATGTAAAGTTGACACAATCATTTAAATCAAGGACTATGACTTTGTCTTTGATAGTAGTGTTGTCAACCTGTTGGCAAGGAATTTGTCATCAAGTAACAGTAAAAATATTGTCCTGCCACATCCTGTACACATCACAGATAGTTAATCTTCAAATGCAGGTGATGAACTGTTCTTGTGATTTGCTGTGCAAATAATTTTTATAGGCTTAAGCTGCAATTTCCATTAAGATTAGTAGTGAGAACAGAAACTTCAGTGAAGATCAAACAATTTAGTAGTTTATTAATGATAAGAACAAACGATGATCTTCAAAACAGAAAGTTGAAAGTAGTTTTAACAGAAGAATTATCAATTAGATCATGTTATATGATAAATAGCTGAGGTTTTCAAAATAATGATGTATGAGATATCAGATACCTTTTCACTACTGGATGCTATGTGTTTGCTGTTTTTTTTCTTTCCTCAGTGAACATTAAGTCAGGTTACAACTTTTCACTCAAAGAGAGCAGTACAAAAAAGGTAAGATTAATCACCTTTACAAATCGCTAGATAGATCAGGAGCCTAAGTAGGTGACAATCCTCGTGTTTTTAGTTCTAACTGGGAGTATATTAAGATTTTGCCTGTCAATACCTTTCTGATGACCTGAGGGCACTGACTGCACCCTCAATAAGTTTGCAGATGACACCAAGTTGGGAGGAAGTGTCAATCTGCCTGGTAGGAAGGCCCTACAAAGAGGTCTGGACATGCTAGATTTCTGGGCTGAGGCCAGTGGGATGAAGTTCAACAAGACCAAGTATCAGGTCCTGCACACTGGCCACAAAAACCCCAGGCAATGCTATAGAATTGGGGCAGAGTGGCTGGAAGACTGTGTGGAGGAAACAGACCTGGGGGTATTGGTCAGTGCTCTCCCGAACATGAGCCAGCAGGATGCCCAGGTGGCCAAGAAGACCAATAGCATCCTGGCTTGTATCAGAAATAGCATGACCAACAGGAGCAGGGAAGTGATAATCCCTCTGTACTCAGCTCTGGTGAGGCTGCACATCAAGTACCGTGTTCAGTTTTGGGTCCCTCACTACAAGAACAACATTGAGGCCTCAATGTTTGTCCTTATCACTCTCTACAACCACCGAAGGGAGGCTGTCATGAGGTGAGGGTTGGCCTCTTTTCCCATGTAACTAGCAATAGGATGAGAGTAAGTGGCCTCATGTTGTACCAGCAGAGATTCAGGTTGGATGTTGGGAAATAATTGTTCTCTGAGAGAGTGGTCAGCTGCTAGAATGGGCTGCACAGAGAGGTGGCGGAGTCACCATTCCTGGAGGTGTTCAAAAAACATTTAGATGTTGTACTGTTGCAGCTTTTGTAGGAAGTATTATTGGACTGGGTGATCTTAAAGGACTTTTCCGAACTTGGTGACTCTATGATTCTAAGATAACATTTATCTCAGTAAGTGGCCTGAGATAGGAAAGATGTGAACACAGGGATGTAACTGAAACATTAAAGTGAATTTTTGATAAGTGCTTTCCAAAAATCCTTTCTAAATAGAAACTGGGAAGTTGGCACTGCTTAAGAAGTTGGCACACAGAGTTTCAGCACCTATTTTCTATCCAAAGTTACACCTCCTTTGCTGAAAACCTGCATTTCAGCTCTGGTTTCATTCTTCCCTTCCCTGAGTTTGGCTGTATCTCTTGGAATAAGTATGCCACTCTCAAATAATGCCTAGAAGAGTTTGAAACAAGCTTTTCTCCTGATAATGCTGAGTTAGTTATGCTATAGTCTAAGACATTAGGGGAAACTGACCTCCTTCAATATTTACATAGCCAATTTATTACGCAGTTTGTGTATATAAAATAAATTTCAATGTCTCATGCAAGACATGCACGAACATCAAAACTAGGAATAGCACTGCACACATTAGGGTCAAATGATACATGGAAAATAAGGTTTATAGAAATGGTAGCCATTTTGAACAAATGAAACACTATGACAGGCAAAGCAGCTTATTTTTCAAGAGAATAAATTCTTCAATAGCTTCCTGAGG